GGTTAACCAGGGAAAAAGAGAGGATATAACCACACTATTCAAATATAGAATCTGGGTAACATCTTGTCGAGAATTCCAAAGGCACTTGATTGGTTATGATCTTCTAGTAACAGCATCAGATTACGTTGATTTACCTAAAAAATGAATTAATTTTACGTGCTTTATGAAAAGCGTGTAGCAGTTAGTATATTTGTATGTTATTTAGGGTTTGATCAAAGGGGTTTTGGTTTCGTTGGACTTTACATTTATGGGGCCAAAAGGAGTTCATAGGGAGCTAAACATAGCATCTTACTCATTACGTAAAGCACCGGTAGTTTCGTTTAATTAAAACAGTACAAAACAAATTGTTGTATACCGGCAATTCTTCGCTATCAACATTTTTGCGTAGTAGAGTACGGGAATTTTTGGAGTGAATTATTTAAAATTTCATGTAGATTTTGCATTTATTACCTAATTTTTATGGATAATTGCTTATTATGTCGTAATTTGGTTTACTAAACTGAAGAACCTAGTAAAAACCAAATACATGAATAGTAGCGACAAATTTCCATTTTCTACTGCCAGATCAAATGTTTTGCGGTGAAGATTATTTCAAATCGTAGGAAAATAAGAGCGTTGCATATAGAGTCCGTAATAATATCCAGCATTGGTTTTGGAATATGGCGATAAAAAGTCATTCCTGCTGAAAGTTATTTTGCGATTGTTTTTAATAAGAAGTAGCTACATTTCAATAGAAAAAGAATATTAATAGAGAACACAAATAATGTTGCAGTTAATTCTCTTTACTGAAATGCAGAGTAATAGGATCATTTCCGGTATTTGTTACTGAAGGGAAATTAATAAGCTATTTCCATGAAATGTTGGAACGTCAATTCACAACTTTTACCATGTCTAATAATTACGACGTGGCGCTGCTGTTTAGAACTTCACAAGTTTGTGTCATTTGGTACGCATGATAGCCTAATGCCGATCATTTTTGCATCATCATTTTGCCAAGAAAACAAGTCTGAAGAACATACTTCTCAAACTTATTCAAAAACTAAAGGCCCAACTGTTAATTTTCAACCGTTAAACATGGATGTTCACAACGTTTTACCAATCAGCGATGACCTATATAAGATTGTCATTATTTGAATTTAGCCACATCAATTTTTCTCATAGGTCAGTGGCATGGGCTCTATATTTGATTAATGATGAGAAAACGCTAACGGCGAGTGACAAAATAAAAATAAACCTCGTGAAGCAAACCACTATCTGTAATTCGAAGATCGAAGTAATATTCCATGAAATGTGTATTTTCTTATCGATCACGATCGGTAAGTATGTTGATAGGTATTTGTCTGTCTGTTAGATACACGCGATATCTCACGAAAACGAGGTTGAATCTGCTCCAAATTTTGCATGTGCATTCATCATATCTCCGACCAGAAGCCTATTGATTTTGGATGAATTATGTCGTATAATTAGCGACTTATTAATTAATTAGTGATGGGACACGCGGTTTCGCTATTGAGTAAGAGCGAAGGATACACACCGCTAGATCGAAAATTCGGCGGTCTCCGATAACTATCTCGTTTTCTTCTTTAATTAATATAAACCACATGACTAAACATCGAGTTATACTATTTTTAATTCCCCCTGAATCAAAATCGTATTTTTAATTGGAACAATATATAATTGTTTATTAATACCATAAGGCAGTTCACAACCGAACATTAAAATTTGAAACCCCGGAAAAGTAACAACTTGCTCCGCTCAATAGAGAAAAGTAATATGATGCAAGTGACATTGGAATTGAATTGGTCTGAATTGTTTTTGAATTATTCTGGCGTATTCCAATGGAGAAAATGCCGAAATCCTATTTTAAAAATAAATATTCGTTTATGCTTTTTCAAGTATCTGCCATTAGTAAAATCCGTCGTTTAAGCACAACTTATCTATATTTCATGGCTGGTAAAGAGTTAGTTTTTATAAAATTTTAGAGAAGGTTTGAAGAAGTTTAGCTTAGTTGACTTTATATACATTGTTCTGTCACTTCCTTCTATGGAAGCTTATGAATTTACTTATTAATTTTAAACAATGGGGAAATTATTATTGCTGCGTGTTATTTGTGAAACTAATTAGTCATATTCGCAAAACGAGCCTAATAAATAAACTGTTTATGAATAGAATATCGATTCAAGCTTTGTATGGGCTACACATATATATATATATACAGTTTGGTCTTCTGTGCAGCCGTCAGTCAGTCGCCTGTACTTGTGAGATAAGGAATTCATAGAGCCGACATGGCAAATCTTATATGAAACGAAAACTTAAAGGTTCTAGTATAACGTTACATATGGATGAAAACCAGTTAGAATTTTTATTCTCAGTTTTGATAATGTCTGTCTTTTTGCGCCACAATCATATAAATGGCAGCAATAAATATTTGTACATAAAATAGTGAATTTGTCAGGAGATAAGAATACGAAAGTCACTTACGTTAAATATAGGTATCCACCCTTGTTGAATAACATTCACAAGCATATAATAAGTACATTATTGTACAGTTCTATAACTTTATTTGATTTTACCTACTACAGACAAAAATTAATTTTTTCGGATTTTTTATGAAGTTTCATCGAAATATCAATTGTTTAGGGTTCTATGATATATCAAAAAACTAATATTATCCTAAGAGAAGATTTTATCTGTTATTTAAGTCATTTCCGATGAAATGTAAGTTGGAAATATTATGCCAAAACTAAAACGAAATTATACGTTGAATCGATGCATACCTAACAACTTTATTTTTGATTTTTATGGACTTCGGCTTTTGAACAATTTTTCTTTCAAACTTTAAATTTCGATTCCAATCCATTTCATTATCAGTAAAGTCCTAGTACAGTAGAGTTAAGCTCATTATACTTCTAACCAATGTTGCTATAACAAAGCTATCTTGTTAGCAGCCGCTTTACTAGCTTAGTAAAAACATAGCAATTATTTTACTAAATTTTTGTCATAAAATTCAATTATTGAAGATGTATTATCCCGCGAACAACCGCTAATTTCATTCACGGTAGCTCGTAGTGATTAACATTCAAAGTAAGTAACAGATCACTTGAGATCATTGTGTATCAGAAATTGTTCTTAGGCAAAAGGAAAAAAACACTGAAGAGAAAACCGTGTAATTGAATGGATGTAATTTGCGAATAATCTAATTTCATTATTTGAGGTTAAAAACAAGGGGAACATGAAAGCAGAATATCTTAGCGGCAAAGCGTTTATATACATGTTTTTGTGATTTCGACTACGGAAAAAATCTGCTTGGCCAATGTTCTCGATATGTTACTGCAAGACAAAATTTTTACTTGACGCGTTTTCTCCGTACTGTATTGTCCAAATTCATCATGATTCCAAATAGTTTCTCAGTAATTTCCAGCATTTCAGTTGTCACTTGTGATTTTTCCTTGGGGTTCACAAATAAAATGTGGCAATTCTTGGAACAGATATATCCAGTCTATCGAAAGGCATTAGCGCCGTATGTCTCTTAAATTCGGTTCTATTTGAACACTACCTTTAATTATGTATAACAGCCAGTATAGTGCTTCACTGCTACTGCTAAATTGTATGTTTTTAGCTATCAATGAATGGAATTAATTTTTTCTTTCTTCAGATGGGATATTAAATAGTCTAACTCTAACTCAATTCATTTGAAACTCGTATTTACTCAGTTAGGACAAAGTAAAATCACTCTATTCCGAGTCATAAAATGTTTCTTGAGTCACGTATGTGAAAATATTCGGCCTGTAATGATCGTTTAATTCCTCCTATTCAAAATCCTAAACTTCCTAAGATTTCCGTAGAATTTTTACAAAAATCATATAATATTTAATGGAATCTTCATCCGGTTATGAATACTATTAAAAAGCCGTACATTCATTAGCATAATCGAATAATTAAATAAGTTCGCACTCTGCAATTTTATTTAATTTCGTCTCTTTGTACATTTTATGCTGATGTCATTTTTACAAACGATTCAGTTTGATTATATCAGCAATCTTTCGGCTTATATTCGACTTTCTGTCTATTACATTATGTAAACTAGGGATTTCGTTTAGGTTTTTTAAAAGCGTATGCAATGGAATCCATCGATTTGATTATAAATTACATTCCACGTTTGCCGATGTTTTGAAAGCAAAACAAAATTTTGCAGTCTCATGCAAGAAAACAGTCTTGTAGTAGAGAGAAGAATTGTAAATTTGGGACAGTGTGAGGTTATTATCATATCGAAGTATTGTTTGTGATATATATGATGTAATTAGCTCGCAATTTTCTGTTTTCTTTGTGTAAATATTTGATGTGTTTTAAAAACTGTGGCAATTTAACTGAAATGAGCTTAAAAAAAAAACATTAATATTTAATTGATATTTAGAAAAGCTGTTATGTTGTGAAAGTGACAGTTTCTTAGTATAAAATTAGAGTGTTGTGCACATTTCGTTTACTTATTTTTCAAAAAGTGTGAGTCGTGTTTTCTCAATATTCACTATATGGAATTTGGGGTTAGCGTTGTACAGTACTTTATTTTATATTGTTTTCGAGATAGGATGTTACGCAATGAGAAATTTTGTAATTCCGCCTTAAAATCTATTTGAACTATATCATTATTATACGTAATGGAGAACATAAGGCGCGCTTAGCGATTCATATTCGTTAATTATATGAGTATACTCTTTTTGGCTGAGCAGAGAATCTTAATTTCATATCACTAATAGAACCCAAACAAGTTCCATAATTTAATAATAATATAAATCCGTATGGAGACTAACATTTTCACAACATTTTTATTGACTACGAATCCTGACATCATAATCAAATAACCAATAAAAACATAATACGAAAACACTGTTCCGTGTGATAAAATCCACAGGTAAAATCTGAAGAGCATTCACAAAAATTATATCGTTTACAGTTGTGCATAAACTGAACATATTAAAATGTATATCGCTATTCTTTTCAGCATTTACATGTTTTTTATCTAATTTGGTTATTTTGGGAACTGATAATATAAAATTGAAGGACTGTTATGGAAGTAATTGATTCAGACATTGAAGAAACTCCAACATTCACCATGAGTTCAAACGAGACAACGGCACCAAACATCACTTATTTCAACTATTATAATCCAGGAACTGCGTTTGATGTTGCCATGGACTGTTTTCTTATATTAGCAGTTATTATATCGTTCTACATATTGATGTCTTTATGCTACTATGAATGGCATTGGCACCAAACGTATAAGAACAGAGCAAGTACAGGAAAAAGGAAAAATTCTCGATTCCGGACCGGACCGTGGCTTAGAATTTTGTGTATTCTGAGCGCTTTCTTCAGTTTTATGAGATGTGTTAATGATATCATATACTATAAAGCATCAGACATGAGTGATATTCCATGCACTATTTTGAAGAACATTGGCGGTAAGAACAAGATCATAATTTTAAACTCTTTCTCATCTACTAAATCATGATTATAGTTTTGGAAAAGAAAGAAAAAATGTGGTATATTATTCAAATCACAAAACATTTTCGTCCTGATATCTTGTTATTATTTTATGAATGAACATATACTCTTTTCTTTTTGTGATGGGGTACATGTAGACAGCGCTAATCATTAGTCGATAACTCGATCGTGGGCTGAAGAACCATAATGACTTCTATGTATACATCCCATTAGTTTTTCAATTTATTTTTGTTTTTAAATTTAGTTTTAGTATTTTGTTTTCGAGAGACTGAAAATAATGACGCAATTTTCTTTCCTGTCTATTGATTATTATTCAGTTTTAAAATCCTGTTGTTAAAATCCCTTAAAATCTAATTTTGCAATATTGAAAATATATGGACTAAAATCCCATCTGAACAGACGAAACATAGGAGTGAATAAATGAATAGCATTTATTGTTTACTGTTGTACAACTTTCGTCAAAAAATCTGTTTCTCTGTGACGGGGTTTGTGAAATTTAGCACCGAAGTTAGAAACGGATTGGATAGTGGGGTTTAGATCAGCCCAATAAGTTTAAAAAAAACTTTGGTAAGAACGGAAAATCCCCAGTATTTCCAGTATCATATTATATGAAATCTGTGAAATAATTTTGTGTCTTAAAGTTACATTTCCAAATTATAATTTTTATGTATGACTTACATTAGAAAACAACATATAGACTGACCCGTGCCAGTTCTAGGACCAGTTATATAACCATAAATTTCAATATTCGTTAGATTTCCCTACTTGCTAAGTTTTTCTTTATATATATGTGTATTGACTACACTCTAATGTAAGTATCGGAGAGTGAAGGAGGGAGTTTGGGAATTTTTTATTTATTGATCATAAAATTTATATCATGTCACCTATATGAAAAGACTGCTTGTGTCCTGAATCAATGTCTTTTTATAGCGCAAATCAATAATGGGATTATATGATACGGGACTTTCCATATCGAATTGATTTTCAAGGGGATACATATAACATAGGCCATGCTCAATTAAAAATTGTCATTCGTGGCTCATATTGAATAATGTATAGGAGCTTCAAATTGGAATCAAAGAAAATGTGATTCGATTTTAAATGATCATTTTTTGGGTAGCTCAAAACGGGCACACATGGATATTTGCCATTTTCTGGATAAATCGCTTTGAAATGGTATATTCAGCCCCAAAAAAATCTGACAACACTTCATATTGCAATTTGGATGGATCAAATTTGAATTGGTTAATTATAATTTTATGCAACTAGCAGATATGGTTACATTCATGTTACAAGTTGTCTAACAGAACTTATAATTTTACTTTATCATTTTATACCCTTATAAGAATATAATACTCTCGAAGTTATACTGAGTATTGATCAAAAATATATGAACCCATTTCTAAGAAAACTCAAAATATGATAAATAATAGTGTTTTTATTCATTAATGTATACCCTTGTTTAGAGAATTCCACATGTGGTATATTTTTGCGTTAGACCAATGTACTTCTGTATGGTTATACATGTCAGAGGCAGCAAGCGAATTCAGTTTGCGACAAAAACAAGTATGGAAAATTTCAATTATATATAATAAATTTGGCCTGCATTATGACGCCTTGTAACTATAGAAGTGTAACATCTCCAATTTACAATTACACATCGGACGTAATCACCTAAAACATTTAAAGTCCTGAATATTTTATGTTCAAGTGATTAATGCTTGAGCAAAGAGGGAATTTTGTTTCAGAACCTTCAGTGGGATAATACATACGAAATGTATCGGAAAAGTTTCGTAAAATTCCATCAAATGGCATTGACTTACAGAATTTTAGAATTCATTCACAATAATATTTTGTAATTTACAGTTTCCTGGTTGATCGAAGTTGACACCACAGTCTATTTGTTTTTGTGGCTACGACAAAGAGTTTTGTATCAAAAAAGAATTATGAGACGAATGGCAAACCCTCTGACGTCAATATGCAGCTGGATGTCTCTTATACTTATCGTTGCAATATTTATTGTAATGAATGGTAGGTTGAATTATTTCTATAGATTCCGAAAGAACTCAGTCCACATATGATAGAAATAACTTTTAGTAATCTTAAATTACTGCCAACACTACTAGAATTTTTTCACATGCAATAATTTTTTCTAGTATAAATAGTACTCATAGCACCAAAATGTAAGTGTGGAAAAAATAATCTCATGGAGTAAAATGTTTTTAAGCTGTAACTTCTCATCCCCGATAGAAAATGCGAAGCTTATTTATAGAGGGCTCGTTTTATGCGACTTTTTTTGATTTTTGATTGCTCTACAATTTATCTGCACATTTTGACAGCTTGAAGTAATTTTATCACAATTTGATCTAACAGGAAAGTAAAGGACATTAATTATTAAATATCTATGTCTATTTTGAAACAAAGTTTTTTAAAAATCAAGGCGCAACTATCATACGTAATGTATAAATAATTTAAATGTAACGTATAGCTAGTTTATCGTATTTTATAAAATAGCTTATCGTATTTTATAAAATTAAGTGACAAGAATTTTTAATTAATTAGATATCATTAGTTGAGATTAGTCTGAGATTGTTTAATATTTGAATTAACAAAGTTGCTATGGCGTAGCTTTTTGAAGGTAAATTGGGTATAAATATATACACGGTAATTTCAATTAGTTGGAAATGATAAATCAAGATATATATGATAATATAACATATTGTGTGTTACATCTTGGTCGGCGGACACCAAAATCTATTTTGGTAAATTTCCGAACGAAAAGCACTCGGTGTGTGTTCTGGTTATTACACATCTTGTAAAATAGTTGTAAACCACATCTCACTTTGTGTTTCAACAAGGTCGCTTACAGCACAAAACAAATGAATTGTATTCAACACTTACAATGCATTAAAAACCGCTTGTTTCGAGTTACTTGAATTCCTGGTAATAGGAAGGAGAGTTTTACTGAACACGTGTTCACGCAGATCCATGCGTCATGACCTGGCCACCCATATAGGTTTTAGTAGAAGTCTACGCATTGACCTAACTCTGTCCTTATCGCAGGTGGCGTAAAAGTTTTAAAAGTTACGAATAACATATTTTATTAGTTTAATTGAAGTTGTATAAAAACCAGAGGTGATCCAGGTCACGCCTCTAGGAGTGCACGATTTGGAATCATTCTTTTATAGCACAGATGATCCCAAAATAGTGCTTCGTAAGCTTCAATATTACAGGCACAAATTATTGCATGAATACACATGAATGTATCCATGCCAAAACTTTTACTATTTTGTTTTCATATTTTCGCAGCAGCTCTTCTACTATGGAGAAATTATCACTATGAACCACAGCTAGGAAAGTGTGTTGGAATTGAGAACGCTGTTTACGATGTGATACCGACGCTCTGGTTGGTCAGCAGTACGATTTTGCACATCTTGCTTGTGGCACTATGTGTCTATCCTTTAATCAGACACACTACAAAGTTGGAGCAACGACGAAAAAGCTCTATCCCAGCTCTAGCAGCAAATGACGTGAGAGGGGCGTCGAAGCGATTGAAAAAAGACTCTACGACACCGTCTAATGGACAGAAAAACTTAATGCAAGTCGTCACTAGATGTGTTATCATTTCATTAGTCTGCGTCTTAACCGATGGATTGACGATTGCTGTGACCCGTTACTGGTTTGTTCATTCATACGAAACTAAATTAAGGCATTTTATTTACAACATCAATACACTGATCAACGTTACAGCTATTGTATGTAGCTTTAAACAATGGAAAGCAATGTTGCTCCCCTGCTATACTTGCAATGACGATGACGCAGAAGCTGACGACATTGATGATGTTGCATCGAGGAGAACCTTACAGTATACTACAACAACAAGCCATGCGCATGCTAATCGCATTTGAAGAAACCTCAAGCGATTCAGTGCAGTATAACTATATAATTATGTCGGATAGTCTTATTTTAAAAGAACACAGTCAGCTTAAATTTTCATACAATTCTGAACATGACGAGATACTTGAGGTTTTTCCGGTCATGGAACCCTACTTTGTACATATTTGACTTTGACTACTCATGCTACAGTTAATTTTGTTTTGCATATTCAAAAGTGCATTTTATTCTCTTCAAAGTTATTTCTGACGACTCTATTCAACTCTGATAATAAGAAGGATATAAAAAATGTAGGACGATGTAAGCAATGTAGACCCTTGTCTAACCTCGTATTGAAAACATAATGAAATTTCAGAACAAATTTACATATAAGTTACACATCATTTTAATTATAAACATATATATATAATATGATCAAATACATTTTCGAAAATCTACATGATTTGAAGTACTTTATTCTGAAAAATAAAAATATATACGGTAACTTATCTCGATTTTGAAGTTTTTACTACCTCTCAATAGTAATACACTATTACTATATTTTTTTTTATAAGCTAAAAAATATTTTTGCATTTTCTTGCCATTTTTGCTGCTTCGTTAAAACATTTGCCCAATAAAAATGAAGTATTAAACACATACCTTTTTTTTACCAAACCGTGTGTAACTAAAAACAAGTGAGTCGCTAATTTTTTACAAGATGTGACTGTGAACTTAAAATATACTGGGAGCAAAGTGACGTAACTAGTCATTTTACAGAGAGTGTGGCAAGCTATATAATTATGATATATATATAATTCTATATGGAAATACCAAAGAAGGAAATATTATATAACAACAATGCATGAAATTACCTGATGAGTTGCTTATAATATTGATAATTTTGCTTTGTGCAAATTTGTAAAAAAAAAGTATCAGAGCTGTAAAACATGTGTTACGTGTTTGTACAAATTATTCACCGCTTTCAATATTTCTAATAATATGCTAGTCTACGTGTTCAAGTAAAACAATACAAAGCTATAATTTTTTGTCATCATTGCTAAATAGAAAAAAGGTATCCTAATTAGATTTTTACTAACAATGTAGAATGTGAAGTTCTGACAAAAATAATAAACAGCATTCAAAACATAGTAGTACCACACGTAAAGCTGCTTGTGTATGTCTTTCATTGTCAATCAAAGAAAATCCTAATGGGAATTAGATAATCTAATGGTTGAAAACCTCATATGACCTTTTTGATTTACGTATCACTTTGTATTGATTTAAGTGCTTCTATTCACACTATTGTGTTTTCTGTTACTTGTATCTATTTAGTATCTTATTTTGCTGAATAAAAATTGAATTGTTGATATGTTTTATAAATTATAAATCCAAACAAGAAGCGAAAGAAACAGTAGAACAAGATTGGACTTCGAAACAATTTCAGAAGAAGAGGTTGTAGTAACAGGAGATTCGGTAGTTTCATCATTATCTGTCTTCAAAATAAAATCTTGTACCCAACTCTGTGAAGTTTCTGGTAAAATCAATTTTGTTTGTATTACTTTCATCATATCTTCTTGAGTAGTCGTTTCATTTGTCAACCATGATGTAAAGAAAGAAATTTCGGACAGTAGTTCTATGTCTTTCATTCGAGCTACGTGTTTTGAAATTGCTTCGGGAACCCAATCACTCAACTGCGAGTTGGCCTGAAATTACAAATTGTAATATAGAAACAAAATCGCTAGTACTTTTTATGCAATGAGTAAAGAAACAGATGACAGGCTAATGGGACGGCTGAAAATCTGAGCCGAGCAAGGGAACATTGGAATGATTAGGAAAGCATAATATTGCCAAAGTAGCTCACCGTGTGACATGGTGCTTCTTTAAAATTGGGAATAATAAAATTCAAAACTTCAATTTCATCCATTGATTTTGCACAATCTTGAATTGACTTTGATCCCATCTGATCACGACATCTAGTAGCAATGATGAAGTAATGAGTTGGAATCGCAGTTGAGTTGATGTCATCTTCTACAACAAAGTTACCGTTCCTGCAAGTAACGCATTGATGAAATCATAGAAATTGAAAGATATTATACATTTTAGTATAACAAACCGTATGGGGTGGTAATATAACCTAAGAAGATATTCTTGTGAAAAGACCTATGTAAGGTACTTTTTATCTTACCGTTTTATCACATCGAAGGAATCAGCGTGTCCGTCGTAGTTGTAATCAAAGATCGGTCCAACATGGACTGAAATTCCATTATACATTTGAGCCCAGTTCACAAAACTTTTCGCCATGAATTGCCAAACTAAAACAGATTTTTTACAAAACTTATACGAATGAAAACATTTCTTTTATGTATCTTACGAGAATATAAAAAAGAGCGACGCCCATACATACGGACACGAAACCCAACGACTAACAGCACTACCGGTAGCCTATAGCTACACGACTTACACTAAAATCCGTTATCGGATCATTCAAAAGCATCAAATCACAATTGCAGACCAAGTTCCATTACCAGAGGAATTCACATAGATACAGGCAAGACAGCAGCTGAGCGTTCACCACTAACAACAATATGTGGGCTACACTTCGAGTCAATCAAAACACTAGTTACTTATCGATCTTAAGATCGGTAAGTATGTTGATAGGTATTTGTCTGTTTGTCTGTCTGTGTGTTTGTATGTTTGTCTGTTTGTCTGTTAGATGAACGCGATATCTCACGAACGCGTGGTTGAATCTGCTCCAAATTTTGCATGTGCATGCATCTTACCTCGGACCAGGAGCCTATAGATTTTGGGTTGATTATGTCGTATAATTAGCGAGTTATTAACTAATTACCGATCTAAGATCGATAAGTCTTCGGTCTCCGACCGATATTCTCGTTGTTCTGGTTGATAACGCCCGTTTAAACATTAAATATTTACGGTAACGTTGTTACAACATATGAATGATTGTTGGTCGACATTGAGATGCCAATTCTTCATTCTATTATTTTCGACTTCAATACTTCTTCAACTATTTGGATTGTCATTTAGAAGACGTAACTTTTCTATTAAATTCAGATGCACAATGTGACAATTGTTGAATTAAATTTAGTTTCAAAAAAGATGCGTTTGGTTGGGATCATAAAATGTTACAGAATGAAGTAATACTCACTTTCAGAAAATGGTTTGTAAACAGGAATCATGTTAGATGATATTGTAACATCTTGCTGATTGCTTTCTGTAACCAATCCTGTCAAATGCAATTAGATTTTGATGATTCATATTCAATATGGCCAATCAAAATAAACAGATTTGTATTATTTGGGAAAATATTTTGCTCAAAATTGGGAATGACAAACAGTTATGATTTTGATGCAATAGTTCTCTTACTTGGAGAAAAAAGAAACGTCCATGTTAAATCCGTACTAGCAGAACAATTTATGTTGGAATTTTCATTCACTCGAATATCCCGGCGGGCACAGTTTAAATTCATGCTGGAAAACTGCGGAACAAAAGAATTGTTTATCCTTAAGATACATAACATGTTTGATATAACAATAGACACAAAGCATGTTTTATATTGCTTGGGAAAACAAATTACCGAAAATGACATTGAAAACAGACAATGTACATTGAAAATTGATTTGGAAAAAGAGAACAACTCATTTTAATGCATTCACATCGAATTACAAAAAAACTATTCGTTCAATAGAAAACAATATCTACTTAATAAAGACTACAAACCTGAACAACCCACTCAAAAGAGACATGAGCACCATGGTATGAACAAGTAAGTGCAACATTTGAATTGATTGCAATTTCATATTCAACAATGATAACGTAATTAATTTTAAATTGAAGAAATTACCTCCTCAGTATCGTTGTTTAAAACAAACGAAGATATGATTGGCATTTTCAAATTGTTGTCGTATGTTGTTATATAATTGCTTTGTGATAAAATGCAATATTGAGTTTGTTCTTTGAATATCCTCGGTCTTCCATAAAGCATATTTTCCGCCATGTATGCGTTTGCTTCGAATTTAATAAAAACATCAGGTGGTCTCAAAGATAAAGAATAAAAATCATAATAAATTCTCCCCAAATGCCTAGATAATCCTTTTAATTTGTAACTTGTTCTTCTTACGACTTTTCTTGCCTGCTCTTGTGTTGAGTTGAGATGTGTTTTTAATGTTGTTTGTTGAGTTGTGTTATCATTTTCCGTAACACCGTTTTATAGTTATTATTAATAACTGTCGCAACAACACAATGTTCCTTTTATATTGATTTTTTGGTAAACTGTGTGAATTAATGAACAAGATGGAGAATAAATTGGTTTGAAAAAAGTAAAAATTCAATACCTTGTTCATTATTCATATTCAATCTTTGACTTGCTTGTTCGGTTGACACCATCTAAAAAATTCAAATTGTTCATTACATAAATGACAAAATAAAAAGGTATATTTTGAAGAGTATTATCATATTATGCATGTGTATGAGAATGTCGTTTACGTGCTGAAAATCAAAGAAATAAGTAGCATTCTTGTTTTTTCAGCTCATAACATCTTATATAAGGAAATCTTACATAAATGTATAAGGCTACATCATTAAACATATCTACCTGACATGGCTGGCACCCAATCATATTTGTGGAAGAAGAGTCAATATTTGGATATACACAACTTTCTGGATTCAATCCGAAAGATTCAGTCAGCAATTTCTTAGGATTGACTAGAATATCATAAAGACTACCCTCTGTACCGTTGTTTGGAGCTGCATTCAAACCAAGAAGATCTAAATGAGAAATAAATGTAAATAAAACTACTTGATAATATAAAATAGCCAAAAACTACATTGGTAATGCTACATCAAATGTATAATATCGCCGTGTTATAAATCCTATTTGTTTTTTCAATTATGATTTATGTAGAACTACGTTCTCAGTTGTGATAGAAACCATAATACGTCTTGCGAATACAAAAGGCTTGAATCTTATTTAAGGCGCATGGCTTTCGTCATTACCCTTTTATCAGAAGTTCTTCGTACATTTGTGTAATGCAGGTTATTATTCACTGCTGAACATTTACCGCTGATGGTTCGCATTTTTGCCAGCAAAATTTGATGTGTGTGAATACTAATGTTTTACTTCTTGATAGGTAGTAATGACTTTTGTCAGTCTCACATTAAGGATTGGAACTCTTCATCTGACACTTACGAGTCACTTATTACGAGTCAAGATCGCACTTATATTTATCTGGAGCGCAATCAAGTATACTAGATATTCATTAAAATCAGAAGAGTACAGTTAAGGATATGAAACATGAAGACAAATTTTAAATTGGTGTTTGCGACAAACTCGTGAGGTGGCGTCGCCAGGTGTCGCAATAAATCACGAATCATCACGAAACATCGTGTATGCATAGCTTGCTTTGCTTCATGTCTTAAAGTATACTAGTCGAATTCGGAACCGTTCAAAAAGTTTCGTTTGTTTAAATACAAATTCTCCTTGACGTTACTATGACTTTGGATACTAAGGTAAAAAAAAATAAAAATAAATACATATAAATAAAAAAATTACCTGCCATTAAATTATACATTTCAATGTTTCCAAAGGGCAATTTTTTGGTGTATCCTCGTTTGAATGAAGGTCCATGTGCAGCGAAAAAAGCCTAGATAAATAATCGTCAGAATAACTCTATCCTATGGTGTATAAAAAAAATACCATCCCGCAATATTCTTAGTTCTTACCCTCATATCAGTAAAATCATTGTCATATCCGTGACCACCTGGTTCGCAATCTGGATCATCACGAGTTCTAGAAATATACGTAGCAATTTTTAATTGCAAAATAATTGCGAATTTTGTGGAAAGCCTTTGATTTGGTGTATTTTTTTTTGTCAATTACTGTTTTCAACATTGAAAAGAATATGACAACAAAATCTTAACCACAGTACAAAAACATTTAAAAATCAGCCAACGAAAATCTCAGTATACCAATATTGAAACACCGAGTAACTTTGTCGCTGATCGCCAATCGCTGATAGGTAATCAACTTACTCTGTAATCCACCATTTGTCGTCCACAACCAAATGAACGTCTCCGATATATTCGTTATTTGCGTAATGGAACTTTTTTGGCAGATATTCATGCGTCAAATAAGCCTAAAAATGGTATTTATTTGACAGTTTTTATCATTTATATTGAATATTACTCCGGTGAATGAAAATCAAGTACCTACTTCCCAGTGTGTTTCATTCCGCATGCACTCCAACTTCTTTTTCAGTTCTAATGGGTTATACCTAGGCCATAGCGATTTATTCAAACTCTTTTGAATCCGAACGACAGCACCGGTATCAAAACTATAATCAGTTTCTTTCAACCCGTAGTCTTCAAGATAAATTAGTTTGTTTTTACAGTCAATAGGTGCCATTCCTGTCGCAAAATATGAACCGGTTAAAACAAAACATATTTCACAAAGAAAGAGAAAAAAGTGACCAGCGATGGTTGTAGTGTGGAGAAGACCGGGACTGTTTAGGGAAATATGAGACGCAAATGATTTGGCATCAATTTGCCCAAATTGATAATAATATTCGCGTCAAACCACAAGTCGAAAATTTTGATTCTACCTCCAAACCGATGGAGACCATGATGCATTTTACTTAAAATCAAGTACATAACTTTTAAAACGTAAAACAAACGTGTTTGAAGTATTTCATTGTTACATTTCACCACTGAAATCATTAACTTGACTTATGTATTGGTAATGCAATTATAAATGCATTCTAACTAACCATGATCGGAAGTTATTATGAAATTTACGCATGTGTCCAGATTTCTATCACGTAAGCCGTTCATTATCATTTCTAACATTAAGTCGGTGTAAACTAAACTCTCGTTGACAAGTGTGCTGAATGGGCCAGCGTCATGTCCAGCGGCGTCCACATAGTGACTGTATAACATTATCACCGAGGGCCTGTAAAAATAGTTTGATAATAGTTAGAAATTGATGTTGTCGACTTCGACTGTGTTGGGATTTCGGCATATTTGCTGGTCTAACTAATTTGTTCAATTTAGTATTTCGATTTCTTTATGTCTTGCATCGCCGGTAACTCGTTAGTTTTGTTCATTTGATAAACAAAGGAAGCGAAGCTGTTGAACCCAATAATGCTTGAAAATTTATAAAATACTAATTTCACTATTTTTTTAAAAAAAAACTTATAAAATAATTGTCAACTTAAATAATATTTGTTTTGATACTTTGAAGTGAAGAAAATATCGAAAAACTAGAAAAATTAACATAGCATGATACCCAGACAAGCTTTTATTCAGTAGTTGTACAAATCTTTGTCATCAGAATACCTCGTTTCCTTTGGCATATCCAGCCATTCCAATACTTTATGAGCTCTTTTTTCTAGGGTAGAACTCTGATCATATTTGAGCCAATAATCAGGATACCTTGTAATGTTGATTTCACCTCCAACCCAAAAGTAAGTCGCACTTTTTAATCCTTGATTACTGGCTGAAACCCAGATCTAAAATATGTCAGTTTATATGGGTGTCAGTGTGTTATCATCGCATATTAATCTTAAAGATTAGTGGTCAGGAGCTGTTAAATTTTATTTCCAAACAGTTGAATGTTGTCTCAAAGAAATTGAGACTCAAATATCCACATTGAAATCCAATCAAAATGTCTGGTTGTTAGATCACAAAAAATGAACACAAGTTCATTTATATTTTCTGCTTTCAATTTTCATGATATTAGAAGCTATAATGTAGTTTTATAATTAGAAGCTATATAGTATAATTGTGACAATTCTGGTAGTGACTTAATACACGGACAAGGAGGCAAAGATAGCCTATATATATTGGTTGCAAAAACTTATAGTGGGATTAATTTGCAAAAAAAGTTCCTATTCTCTTCTGAATACATATTGATAGTTTACAGAATGCAGTTTTGGTTTTTCTGTTTCTTCCTATTGCTTTCTATAATAATTTTTATATAAATCAATTTTTATTTCAAAATGTTCAAACGTCTTTTTATCATTAAAATGAAATCATTTACCACGAATAAATATAAAACAATTTAACACTAATGATGGCGCTTACCGGTTCTCCTTTCCACCAGTGCGGACTGAATGATGATTTTCTGCCCGGACGAAATTTTTCACCACTCTCGAAATCATACATTGTGTTTGAAACAATACCATGACTTTCTGGATATAAACCCTAATATATAAGAAGTGTTGAAGTAAAAATATCAAAGGTTATTGTATGTGGTATATTAAATTATTGCTGAGAAACTACTTGGGAAAATCATATATTATCTTTGACTTCCTATTTGGAATGTTAAGATTCAAAAGATTGATGAGTATTCATGATGGTGTTCTCATAACGCTTGAAATTGTGTGATAAAACTTATAAGCACTCACCGTTGCCAATGTGTAATGATTTGGGAAAGTCTTTGTCGGATATGCGGAAATCATATATGGTGTTTTCACTCCGCAAGATGCTGAAAAAGGAACAGTTATTTTTTCCAGTTTAGAACCCATAAATGCTGAGACATGACCTGGATGACTGCTCTATTGGATGAGTAGTATCATCAGTATGTCGAAAATACATAAAGGCGAACGTTGTGCAACTTTGATGACGCTTCGGATCTAGATTAAATATTATCGGAAGCATACCCTTAGTATATAAACCAGTTTCTCAGCAACATTTCAGAAAAAAACTAACCTATTTTCGATAGTGTTGGTGTCAAATTCCGATTAAGATAAATATCTCTGAAACCATCGATTGACAATACAAGCAAAGGATGTGGACTGTCATACCTGAAAGTCAAGTAACGTAAAGTATAAAACCTCCAAAATTCCTTGATATACATATATTACAAAGACCACTAGAAGGTTATTACTACATTTTTTTATTCTCACAAGTCAAATGGGGTTCGATAGATATTTCACCAAACTATTTGCTTTTCCAAGAATATTGCGCCACCTTATGGACTTACATCAGACCATTGTACCTGTATGTCCATATATATGAGCATTGCTGTCTAGTTTTACCTAATTATATTTTATTTATGAGATAATGAAAAATATACAAAGAATTTCTGGACTAACCCATCAGGACACTTCATTTTATCTTCTGCAGTGCATTCTGAGTCTTTCCATGATTTTCCGCCTTAAATAATTAAACACAGTACTGGGCAATGAATTCATGTTTGTGTGTCAAAAATTTAAAACAGCACATAGAAGTAAAAAAATCCACTGAAATGTTTACAATCAATATTTTATATTTTAGACAGAATATATGCAATGGAAACAAGATTTAAAAAAACCTTCAACTTCTCAGAAGATTTTTTCAATATAAATCATAAAACTTCAAATTGGAATACAACAGCGATGTCATTTCGAGCTGTTGAACCACAAAATAAGTTCAAATCGAGGTTTGTAGTATTTCAAACAAATTATTTCGAGTTATTTTACCGATAGTAAATAGGAAAGTTAACTATATTATATGTATTCATTCTATTAATGATATATCTGTACCAATGCATGAATACTCGTAATCGGTGCAGCATGATTTGTTGGTCGTGCAAGAAGCTTCACAGCTGCATTCCGCTCTGATTACATCACATTCTCCCTCACAGAAGTAATTTTTGTCTGGAATCAATATTAGAAATTCAATTTCTTTATTTTCTAAACATATTTTCCTCGTTAACTTATCAAGTTCGAATTTTGAAGAACTGAAAAATAAGATTTAACACTTCAACCATGATCGGCTTCAGTATGAGTGAGTTATCTCAATTTTGATTATCTAAAAAGTAATTGAAAACAACTATTATTTGATGAGCCATCTGGTGGATAATCCTATATATATTTGATATCTTATAAACCAAAAGTCAGAAAAAATTCAATCATAGTCGTAATATTCAAATTTACTAAGAATGAGCGAATATTTGTTTTAAATGTTCTTTCATCGCATACTTTAAGAATGCATTTAGAATATTAAAGTGGACGTTTCTTTCTAACGCCAAACATAAAACTACACTCCCAAATCAAAGAGCGCAACCAGGTCCAGCGAGGTTTCATTTTGCATGAGTCTTCCAGATAAGTCTGAGGGAAAATGCGTTCACCTTTTGTTATTCCGTCAACTGCTACACTCCATGCAAGACAAATGATGGTGAACTGAAATTACAAATGTATACAAGTAGAACTTCACTGCGTTGTCATTATTGTAACTCTGTTGTCCACGTCATATGGGGAATCTCATTTTGTTACGTCATATGGGGAAATTCATTTTGAGAAAAAAATAGATACATTAAGATTCAATGTAAATGCAGTTGACTTATACATGTCAGAGAAACTACGGCCGATTTTAGTATTTTTCGCCTGCTAATGAATCCAATCGCGTGTCAGTGTTCCATTTTACTTCTTTGTGGGTCCAAAAGACCGCCAATTAATTACCGGATATGCGTCAAAAGCTCAATTGAGAAGCCCATTCAATAGCATGTGCAGCAGAGGCCCATTAGCCTGGTAAAAATCAATTTTTACAAATACCAAATCTGGTTTAAATGAGATTTGTGGCCACATTAATAATTAATATCGCCCGTATATTGAATACTGTTCCACATTAAGTGTAAGGCGATAGCGTTAACTGAATCACAACCTACGTTCGGTCCACTAAAATTTCAAACAAGAACTAATCTCATGAGAATAGGATTAAGTGTTGGTTTTCATTGAATCTTATTGGTTTCCCACTGATATCAGTCACAGTTTGGCCAGATGGAATGGCATCTCCTATCCAACTGCGGAAATATTAGCCGTTTAATTACATAAATATGCTAAAATAGTCTGACATTTGATGAAAGCACAATAGAAAAACGTACGCATATGATATCATATATATTGATCACAGCATATGGAGATTTTATATATTAAAATGTATTTAAACAGTTTATTTATTTAAGCTTTTACAATCTAAGTATTTGAAATAAACCCTTCCTCGAAGTTATTTTGGGCCAAACTATAATAAACTCAAGGCTAGGTTTTTATCAACTTTCCAAGTGCAATCATTTATAAATGTCTTTCGCCGAAAAAAGATTGATCTATGTGTCCGACGGTGTGCCACAAGATTATATTAACTTTTTTATTCCAACAAAAGTTGTGTAATCACACCGAGTCAACAAACGAGAATATTATACGCATTGACTATAGGGTATGTAAGATTGATAGAAAACTAGAATAAGGTAGGATTCCTATACGCCATACGCATTTAGAATCACCTGTTCAACTAAGAAGGGACTACTAAACTGGAGAAGGTAAATTAACAACAATTAAAACTGTTTTTAATTGAATGTGGTATGATATGATATGTCTAATAGATTCTTAATTAACAATTATAAATTAGAATCAGAAAAAAATGTAATATTTAATAATAAAAGTCACATACCCATGCATACGTTCCCAACGAAATTTCCATATTCCACGAATATTAGATGACTTGCAGTTCGATAAACGGTGTACACATAAATTTAATGATTTAAATCTTTATTTTTAGGCCAAGAAAACATAATGAATAAAATCATGGTGGTTCGGTTTATATGATATATACTTACAAATTATTACTAAAAGAATCATTGTCATAGACTGAAATATTGCGTAATATCAAGGAATTCGCCAATATTTCTGTTTTGTTTGGAATATTTTAGCCATGCTTTAATTAACAAATAGTTTTCAAATATTCCAAATGCCCTTTTGAGTTTCTCTCCCTAGCCATAATACTAAAAGGTTGAATTGCTGTTCTGTGATTTGCTTGTTTTGCTTTGATTCACACAAAATAATTTTCATTTGAACCCTATGACGCAAAAACTCAATTTTTCATTCTTCAACAGCAAGAAAATATACTAATTTTCTTGAAAGCCTACACTAACTCGTCTATAATAAATCAATAAATATGGATCATGCCACGAACCCATATGTAGTACAACTATGATGACAAAGCGTTCTCATATTTCGCCTCATTAATCCCATCCTTATTTCATTAAATGAGCATCACTGTGTACGCAACTTTGCTTGAAAAATATTGTTTTTGCTGCCCATTTGTATTTTAGGCGCACGGGCAAGTGATATCTTAAATAGAACTTACACAAACAAATTTAATAAACACGAGTGTACATCCGCACGCTACATAGAACTTATACCGCCCTCCGTGCTCTAGAAACCATGCGGAACTGCTCATACGAGTTTGCCTCGGTGATCGTAATGTAATATTAGCATTGTTTATCATGGAAAGAAAAATATCACGTGATTTATCAACTCTCGTCACCATGTCCTGAGCGCCTCTCGTGAAGTAAAATTTGAATGGTTTCGAAATTATTGAATCACTACAGCATCAGTTATTGGATGATTTAAAATGAATATACTGTGACCACGTTCTAAAATTTTGTTTATAAAGTTATAAAATCTTTTCTCATTTCGTAGAATATGCTACATACAATATAATCCCTAGAATAAAGTGAAGTAATTTTAGTGTTTAAATTTGAATTACGACACTTCAATTGAGATTTATTATGATGAAAAATAAACAGCAAAATATTTTTAAACTAAAATATTCATTATCGTTAAGGTCTTCCTTGCTTCGCCACATACTTTGCAATCCCTTACACGCCATATGTTTAAACAAACATTGATCTAAAACTGAAACGTGAGTCGTTTCAGACTTCATTAAGCTACAGTCTGTTAACAAACTTACAATAACCCGAACCACTTGAATGTTACTACCCTTAGTATAGGCAACATTTTAGGCATTATATATAACCCAACTTTTTCCAATTAAAATGTGGTCTTTCTCGAAATATTAACCGCACTATATAATTGAACAACAGCGCCATTTAGCGGATATCTGCATCTCAATTACGCTCACCACAACCAATATAATAGTAAATTAGAACTCATAAAAAACAAATTCAATTGTCTAACTCGAACTTTATACACAGGCTTGATAACTTATTATTACATTATTATGTTTGTGATTATTGCAATATAGCATCTGTGCGTTTGACAATTTAAAATTGCTAAACCATGTATACCCCATTGATTTAATTAAATATGTAGACAAATTGAACATCGACAATGGACCTTTCCTTGGGCATCGACTTCCTTGTTTACTTCGTGACATTGGCCAACCAGCAAGATGCAAAAAGTGACGTAACAATGCTCCCTTTTCGCATCCGCTCAGACACTTTTCTCACTCAGACAGATTTTCAAGCGTGGTCGTAAAGATTACCTCGTTTTCGCGTTTTTGAACTCTATTGGTAAGTTTTCAGTTGTGTTTCGAAAATTCAAAAAATTTTAGATAATTTGATGATCACTCTGTCTTTCTAGGAGTTTTAATTTGATCGCAGTAATAAACTACAAATATTTTTATATATAAAAGTTGACCATACATAGAACGGAAGTTTCCCGAGAACCGACTGTAAGAAATGTTCCCTAATTTGAATTATGGACACTAGGTTGTGTTCTAGAAAAGTCTTTCGTAATATCTATTCTCTGTAGTCGTGCCAGTCCTGCGCATCATTTAATTTTATAAACAGTAGATTCATATTCGGTTAAACGAAATGATTTATTATCCAAAATTTGATACTTTTTTAGAGGTTTCTTTTCTGAGCACCATTCGTAGCGCAAATTTATTAACAATGATGATTTAGTTACCTGGGTTTGAAATAAGTTGCGATGACTGCATCTCTCAATTTTCTCGTTGTAATGAATCATATCCACGGATTAACAAGACTTGGAAGAGAAAAAATATTCCGAAGACAAGACATTCTTATATCATTCTACCCAAGTATATGGGCGAATGTGATAACAAAATAATTGAATTCTGTATTATCCTCCAGATCAACACAAAAACTGCAATCGGCTTGACAATATGACATTTTTTAAAATTCATTTCAGATTACCATTTCCTGAAATATCAGTTGCTGCACCTATGTATTCGAGCCATAACTAAAACAATAAAGCGATTCTCAAATATATAGACACAAAAGTTAAAACGAAGTAGCACGGGCATGCAATCTGTCATAGTAGATTACCAGTTCCGCAGTTTTCATGACTTCGCCTGACCGGAATCAAAACAGAAGATAGCCGCCACGTCTCCACATAAATAAAAATTGAACTGAAAATTTTAGCGACAACAACAATTTTGAACCATTGAAAATTTCAAGGCAATTCGGCTGGTGATTAAAGGTTAATGCTATATATATAACAGGGATGGCCAACAAATCGGTCGATCGCGCCTGATGTTGAGTGAATTTAATAACATACTCCAATATTGACTTGAACCAGTTTTATGCAGCGCCCGTTGTGTGTTTTTAAAAAAAAAGTAGGATGAAAACAGTACTGTATATGGAGCAAATACGTCATGATGATACAGTATTTGAGTTTGGCCAAGCCTGAACGTGTCGAATATCTTGTGTCTTGACTGACGAACGACCCCACAAAAACTTCTGCAGTATGCGGAAGTTATTGTCTCACTACAAGATAACAAGAGTAGAGTGATAAATTTTTATTCGCAACGTAGCATTTCGTGTGCCTACGGCAGACATTTTGATTGGTTGGCTTTTGAAACCATACTGTCACTGTATATTTAAACAGTCAATTGTGAGCGCAATGTACCTTGTGGCCAATTTTAAAATTACCGACGGGCCTGACGCGACTGAATATAAGTGTAAAGTAAATTCAATCGAATTTTCATTGTATTAAAATGAATTTTACTTCGCGGAATTTTATCGCAGTGGAAAAGATTTTTCTAATCGTAATATCTTTAAAATAGAGTGAAGTCACAAATCACTAAACACGATATAATCGGGTAATTTACCACACTTTTCGTGTCTGCAGATTGGCGTAGTATTTTAGTGTAATAATGTTTTTTTATGTCGAAGAAAGGGCTTGTTGAATTGAACAATATTAGGGCATATTAAATATGCCCTTATGGATTGATTACTTTGCGCAAAAAAAAAGATCGTTATTCGTTCTTTTAAGCGAGTTACATAATTTCGGCGACTGTTTCAGAAGCGTTCCGCGGAGATTTCGAGGCGATGAATATGTATTTTCGATATACTATATATTTCATATGGATTTTTAAGGTACTAAATTAAATCGTACCCCCTGGGATATTATAGCAGATCTTGAGATTTCTTTAACGGCGATCGCAATGATACGTATCAAAACTAAATATTATCTGGAAGTTTTTCTCACATTTTTATGTTCCCAGATTGCCGTCGTATGTTTACTTTGTCGTAAGTCGGCGCAACCGCGAGTTCCGTTGATCACAATTAAATTAATATGAAAACACATTTTAAATTACCGTAGGTGTCATGAATTAAATATTTTACTTGGCAGAAAAATCATTATGGCATCGGAAATGTTTTTAATATTTATACGTAATCGCATTTTCATCATCCTCTAAGATTGAATATTGATGAACTTATAACCATGAGAATGGTCGTTTCTGGGTGAATATTATAAAAACAAATTAGTGTGTTTTAATAACAACAATGGTGATTATCGTGCGTCAAAAATAATTTGCTAATGAATGTTTGATGTCGCTTTATTTTTTCAACCCGTCAACCATTTGAGCCTTCATGAAAAATTGAGATTAAGAATAAGATTACTGGCTTCCTATTTAATTTATTACATCAAAAAGATGTTTCATTATTGCGTTACGCTTGTTTCAAATTTTGTAAATTGTTTTTTCAGTTTCTCGCCACGAATAGTAAAAGTTTGGACTTCTACTTCCTATTTGCATATACGTAATGCCATGTGTTGGGTAGAAAGAAGGCTTAGGGGTTACAGTTGTCTAAAGAAGTCATTCATTGACGAATGCAGGCATTGCCATTAGTATGCATTAACTTTCCAAAGAGAAATATCGCATGGGCCATTTATTTTTTACTATCAATAACTAGAATGTCATCCACTAGAATAATTAGTTCCTTCATGAAAACAAAAAACTGTTGTTGCAGCGGCATTAACTATTTGTCAGCAATTTCAGTCGTGATAAGCCAGTCGTCAGCTCGGGCTCATTCTAATTCTCCGATTGCGTTCGTTATTACTTCATTCGTTATCGATCTTTAGAGCGGTAAGTATGTTGATAGGTATTTGTCTTTCTGTCGGTTTGTCTGTCGGTTAGATGTCCGCGATATCTCACGAAGGCGTGGTTGAATCTGCTCCAAATTTTGCATGTGCATTCATCATATCTCAGACCAGAAGCCTATTGGTCTCTGATCAATATTCTCGTTTAATTTTTTGATGCTGGTGAAGTGTATCTGTACTCTTAAACTTGGGATAACAGCGAATGAAAACGTTCAAGATGTTTTAGTTTTTTCGTGCAGCATTAAAAACAGCAAGTAATCCATTTACAGCTGCACTAGTACATAATGTTTACATTTGCATGTTCATTCTAGATTAAAGTGGCATCTCGTAACAGCTTGCAACATACTAAATTATCTTATTCAGCTAATTGCTGCTAACAGTTGTTTTTTCGAGTCTTTTCGTTAATATTTATGAAGTCAAAGATAATCTAACCATTGCCTATTAACAAAGTATTAATTAAGGTATATTATTAACACCAACATATGTCTCCAGCCGCATAGCATCATCGTCAGATTTAATTTTTTATCAGCTCTACAGTGAAACAACGCACATCTTTTTTCGTTAGTGATTTTGGAAAATAGGTCATGGGTTACCAGTATTTTCGATTTTAACTTCTTTGTGCTGTTGCGCTGAAAAAACGATGATATTATATGAATATCATTTTTATTTTATCCATTATAGTATCTGTTAGTAATCTCGCAAAAGTTATATTCACCGATAACAACAATTCTAATGAATAGACTTCCTGCCTGTTAAATCTGATTTAGATTTTACAACTTTGGATGTCGCTTTTAGATAACCAAGATTGGTTCGCGTCTACATTCCTTATCCAAAACATTTGTATATTCGATTTGTTCTCGTGGTTTCGTTGCGTTTTTTTTTGTTGGCTGAAAAAAGTAAACTAGAATATGACTATGCTGACGCGGGATTTGACGAAGCTCAACAGGAAAACAGTTTCAAATGATAATAAAAAAAATACTATTTCACATTTAAAGTCATTATATTTTCATATACCGACACTAGCTGATTGTTGTTTAGTAAATTCCGCAAATCGCGCTTTCGTAGATTAAAAAATACGGTAAGGTCGTTTTCTTTTTGGAATGACAGAACACACTGCCCGCAGCGCTGTTTCAAAAATTTCAAGTATGGCTTCGAAGGAGTGAAATCAACCTATTTCGCTCCTGTTAACAAACCTATTACCTAATTTAGTGTAAACATGCTGCACTTGTGAATAAACTTTTCCCGTATATCACTAGTATCTAAGCACCATGAAAAGTCTGCGTTATTGTGTTTGCTACAAGCACATCTAAACATCGCTGAAACTACGTCGCACCTATGCATTATAGTGTTCACTGCAACTGCATTTAAGTATTGCAAATCTACAATGAATCTGTGCATTTTGTTGAACACTATATCTACACTTTGTTACGTTGTTAGATAAAGTGGCACCTATGTGTGGTTGTGTTTATTGAGAGAACATCTAGTCTAGACACTGCGAAGATAATGGAACACTAATGTAATCTCGTGTTCATTACAACCACATTGGAATATTGTTACAAAAGTTACCAAGGCAAATATCTACGTAATATTTTGCTCTATGAAGCTGTTATTATAAATTAATTGTAAAACCTTAATTTTATCTTCCTGCATCTAATTTTATAATCTTGAAAAATACACAATCGACTTTCCAAATTCAAGTTCATTGAATACACTTAAAAATATATGTGTTCCCCATAGTGCACGACCCAATTTGGAAAATAATCAAAAATATTTTGTAATATGTAATCGGAATGTTCGATTCAAATTTAGGTGCTCACTCTAAGTACGGTATAGTTCCAATTAAGGTAATTTTATCGCATTGTAACTTGGTAAGACACATTTTATGTTAATTTTACGTAACTGAAATGCTGAAACTGCAATGAGCGTACCATGGGTGGTTCACACGACCGCTGATCGGTTACGATCATCCCCCACCATCCAAGTCCTTGCTTCTGAAAACAAAAAACAGATAAACAAATAAATAGCAGATACCAGGTTTATATTGAGATTGACCATTTCAATGCTAAATTTTCCTTAGTTCAAAAGCACACTTGATTTGCAAAGATTTGTGAATGCGCACAGTACACCAATTTGTCTAATGTTTTGATTCCATAGGCAGAAGATTGTGGATCGGTGCTGCTCAGGATGGGATATTTTTGCTTATAAATGCATATCACGTGTTACACATGAATCCATCGTGCTCAGATTCAACTGTTTCAAGGTTTGAGTCTCCAACTGCTCAATTTTATCGGTACACAGTGAGAATTTTCAGTGTGGCATGCATGGGTCAGTTGGAGTCACTAACATCAAGATATTTATAAGCAAGGATAAGATAACCTGGAAGTAACATTCCATAATTTAGAGTAAAAAATGTATCTGCCTCCACACCCCTTTCAAATTAAAGATATGATGCCTTTAGGGGTAATTTCTGTCGAATATTTTACAGTATTATGGTTCTAGTGAAAACGGGTATAGGCGGCTTCTTTTAAAGTGTGTTAGCTCTAGTCGAAAGACACATTAAATGTTTATGCTAATAACTGCAACGTAATATTGCAACGCATACAAGTTAACAGAATTTGTTGAAATGATCCTGCCTTTTGCCTTTCTTCAAAATCTCTCTTTTTCTAACTATTCTTTTCCTCTCTGGGGATGGCAAAAATTCAAATATTGATGGGACATAAGCAGATGATAATGGGTTAAATATGCCTACCAATGTCGGTAGTTTTTAGGATAGGATTTATCTGGGAGGAATTGGGGATTGAAGGGGGAAGATGGGGATTGCAATGTGCAACATCGTACGATTACCATTCTATGTCGGGATTAGTTAGCCAGTTATTTGTTTTCAGAAGCATGGACTTGATGGTGGGGGATGTCGTAATCGACCAGCGCTCGTGTGAACCACCCTCAGTGGGAGGAGAGCTGCAATCCTCTCACACATAACTATCCCCGCATGGGATTCGAACCTGTGCAACTACCAGGGGGGTCAGAAATGCGGTGGTGAGCGTATTCCTAAATGGCGAATTCAATTGAATTCTGGTTATTTTTTGCATGAGCACTGGCGTTAAAATTTAGTTATCTATTCAACCTTTCACACTTACTAATAGATTACTTGCTAATTAGGGAAACAATAGCAATTGATGATTAATTCCTTACACAAGTCAAGTCTGCAAGTAGGCCTACGCCTAGACCTACCAATAACAGTAGTTTGTCATCTGTTTTCCATTGAAATGAGGGAGCTTATGGATATTTAAAGAAATTGATAACGGCACATTATCACCCACCATCAACGAAGTGCCGTCCGCAAACAGTGAAACACAAGCGAGATGACTTCTAGACTTGACCCCAAGCAGTCCTGCCAATAGATGATATCCACATTGCGCGACGTTCCGGATCTTTTGAAAACAGTGGAATAAAACTGAAGATCCATTTCGTTGTCGATACTATACGTACAGCCAGCGGAACAATACGAAATAACCATTTTCAACAGTCAAACAAAACGGAAACGTATAATCCGACTTGCAACTGACAGGAGCAAAATGGACGTTTTTGTATTTTTGCCGTCCAGTAAACAAAGTCACGCGACCCGTGCAAGTCCTCTATACAGTTTTGGAATACTGTATGTTCACAATTTTTTTTGTATTATATTAACCAATGGGTATTTCATTGTACATATGTTTAAAGTAGGTATCGTGAAGCATTTGATGAACAGGCAATGAATCAACAAAATTATCAAATATCAGGTAAATATGATGTCGTATTGTGTCAAGCTGGTATCAGCCTGTACGTACATATAACTGTCTTCCAGTATCCACTGCTCTAATTTAGAGATGGCACAGTTGGTTGGACACATCTGTGATCTTGTTTTGTAGCGCACAGATGACAGAAATGATAGTGAATAGCTCCCAGTGGCCAGCATCAGCGGAAGAGCGGAAACCAAAGAAACCACACACTGAAGTTTATAAACAGTTGAAGTTTTGGTAATTCCTCAACATCAATTTTATAGATTTGTTTATGAATTGATTTTCGTAAACCTCGTTCGTGCTTCAATATCACAATGTTTGGGCCTGCTCGAAAGTGGCCACTGTTTTATAAGATGAGTCGTACTGACCACTCGCCGCTCAACTTCGGATTCAAAATTTATATAAAAAAAACAGCAATTATCTAATTAGCCTAGGGGCAACAGGTTTAAATGTAAAGAACGCTGTCTGATTAGAAACTGCTATAGGACCAGGAATGCTTGAGTTACGGGGTCTTCCTACTACTTCCTCAATGTGTATAGATTTACCAAAAGCAAACTAGGGAGTGAATTGTGTGATTGAAATTTGTGTTGTTGAAACAACTGGCGGGAAACAATTGTTTTGTTTGTGGTGAAAGAAAGTTTCAATCAAATAATTGAAGCTTTTTGTCATCTCCCATTAAATGTTTACAAGTGATGTTTCTCTGTGAATAAACTGACAAAGTTTTTTTTCAAGTCCTAATATAGCACCGCACTACGAATTGAGTTGGTTGGAATCATAATCATTGTGTGTGCTAATGCTAGTGCTGAACTCAAAATCATCACCGACAGCTTTGAAAAGTTTGTTTTATTTTTCAATAAATTCATTGATTGGGTATTACAAAATAATAAAATAATGCAAAAAGACGATATCAAAACATATGACATTTACTTAATTTTGAGTTGCAAGCCAATTTTATTTTTCTTCAATGAGTGCTCATTATAACAACATTCACGTTATGTGTTGGATGAATTGATTTGAATTGCCATTGTACTGGTGACGCGTCTCTTCCTGAATCGGCATCTGAAACAATATGCATGTGATAATATTCAAGCTCAGTATAGCTGTAACTCATTTTTCAAATATTTGTCACGAATATATTGACGAAATTTGAAATAAAACAATTCACAAAGTTTAGATGAATGTGATGAGTGGGACTAGATGAGACCATAAAAAAATTATTATGAGGATAGATTCGATTAGAACATACCAAGTAGACTACTTGTTAGCAAGTATTGTACCTGTAACATTTTCTCATGAAAATTATATACGCCTGGACTTTTGTGCAGAAGCATCTATACCAAAGCTGTAACTACTTCATAACAATATTTTGACGGGGCTCCTGAAGTATGCGAACCAAGATGGCGGACATCGGAATGTAATATGTGTACTAGGTTAGGGTTAGGCTATAATTTTAGCTATAAATACTACGGGAGGCTCTTGGCTAGTCTTCGAACTGATAATATGACTAAAATAAGGAAATTTGGAAAAAAATTATCGCCTAACCCTAACCTGGTACCCATGTTACGTTCCGATGTCCGCCATCTTGGTTCGCATTTTGACTTGGCAACTCATAATAACTAGGATACAATTATATCGGTCACAACATATATATACTTTATTTACCAGTGTTTTAGTTACCTGTGTTTAAAAAAAGTTGCTATGACTGCATCTTTTAATTTGGTCATTGTAAAGAAGCATATCCAAGGATTAGCAAGACTTGGAAGTGTAAAAATATTCTAAAAAAACAAGTCATCGTTACATCTGTGCACGGTAACAATGACTTTCATCGGCAAAATATAATAAGATTGTTTTGGAAAAATGCGTTGAAAGTCATTTTCATTTGTCATTTATTCCAAATATAGGTAATATCCAAAAACAATTATAAATGGTTGTTCTTAATATCGCACATCAACGATGCACAGATTAACGAATTTTTTACATTGAATAATGTCGATAAATGACTAATGTCAAGAGAAATCAGGATCAATGTTGATTCCCATTAATCCGGAGCATAATGATTTTTGATTGATTGACAAGAACCCGGTTGATTCAGATTTTATGACTCCATGATCTTAGACAACCAGCCACTTATTTGTAAAACTCTGAATTACCATTTAAAATACCAAGGACAAATACCATCTAACATACACATCCTCCCTTCACAAACCTAGCATTACTCAACATCTAAAAAATCTTAAATATAAACCCATAACTCACGGAGTAAATCTGCACGTTGAGGTATGACAAAAGCTGCTTTTGTGTAGAAAATGCTCGAAGCGTAAACGTAGTGAGTGCAGACCAAAATGTAAACTGAAGAATGGTAACAGCAAGAGAGAATTTTGAAATAAAATCGTTGTTGAACCCAAATTGTTGTCTGGCAACTAATGAAGATTCAGCCCACGTAATATTTTCACTTTCTTCATATTTTAAAGTATGTTCAAACGCAAGAGAATTCTGTCCTGAAATTCTCTCTTTATATCCATCCGTTGTCGTAACTTCGATGCCAGGAAGTGGCTTTTCTGTTATAAAAATAGCATAATAAATCATTAAAGATTAGCAACACTTATCATTCTAAACAACCATCGCACATCTATCTTTCTTACCACCTCCTTTACTTTATTTTTAAAAACATTCAATGATCCGCCTGAGGTATGCGCACCAAAATGGCGCACAACCTGAACTCAAGTTGTGTACAAGGTTAGGGTTCAGGTTGTGCGACATCTTGGTAAGCATACTCCAGGAGTACCCATTTAATTGTGAAGAAGAAGTAGTAATTATGAAATAATAAAATTAACAAAAAAAAAACAATAGTTTCAATAAACAGAAAAATCACTAACCATGATCAATTGATGGTTTTGGCGTAATAATCACTTTAAAAAATACAACATAAACAGTACTAGCCACCAAAATTCCAAGTGCACACCAAGATGTTGCGTTCGTAAGCAGGAGAAAAGGAAACGATAATGGAGCCATAAAACCCGAGCAATGTGGAGTACTAAGAAAATTTTTGTAAATTAAAGAAGGTATTTGAAAAAATTTAATTTTCCATCTGGCAGTCTTTTCAAAATAGTTCCCCCTGTCTCCAAAAATTTTTGACTTTGTTCTTAGTCAGACTGTTTGTAAACACCCACATTTCTGAATTCTATACCATGCTCGGATAATGTTGATTTCACAAAGAAGTTAGAAGTCATCACTTGTTTAGGTAATCTTAGAGTATTTTCAAATGATAAATTTTCAAATTATTTTGTATAATCCTACTATCACATTTCAAGATTTTTTTAAACTCGTCAAGTCTGTATAAATTTAAAATGAATAGCGTCAAATATTCAACTCAAATATTTCCAACATGGAAGGTTAAATTAACATTTTGCATAATCTTTGCTCTTCTCCACTTGAATCAATCACCATAGTCGAACAACCTTCCATGCAATCATGCTCTTCTTCTGTGCATCTTGTCATAACACCAACCAAAGTAAAAATAGGAAGAAGTAACCAAATACTGATAATCATTCGTTTAACATGATGGGTTTTTCTGTAGAAATTTCAGACAAATTTTTATGAAAAATTGGTAATATGGAAAAGTAATTTAATGGCATGATTGGGTTACATATAAAAGTGTTATTAAATGAAACAAATAGTTCATACCGGAACTAATTTTCAAATAGGCTGCAGAGCTATTTGAAATTGTAAATAGTCTGATGAAATATAGCATAAAATAAAAAAAGTTGTCAAATTATCAAAATTATTTTTGCTGCTTAATATTTGATTAACTCTACTTGATATTTAAGTATTAAAGTGGTAAGTTATTTTTAAAATGCTTCTTCATATAAACAGAAATAGAGAGTTTGTCAGAAAAGTGTTTAAAAATAAAAATTATATTCAGTACAGGATTCCTACTAGCTATATTGACTACATTTGTAAAGAAATTTCGAATCATGAAAACTATAAATCACCACATAACAAATCATGAAATGCTATAAGCTGATTTAATTACCTGAAAACATTTGAAATGGAAGTAAGATTTTTCGTCCAAGATCGGTCAGGATATGCTTGAACCATAATCTCACATGATCTTATATACGTTGACTTGACAGAAATATTTAGAAGTGTCATGCTATGGAATGACATAATGAGTAAATCAGTCAAGTTTTTTTTACAATTTGTATCATGAGATATGTCTTAGTGTTATGAAAATGACTATAATATCCAACCATCAAATTTTGATAACTGCTGGTACGTAAGTTATGGTTAGGTATATTTACACCAAATTGAGTCAGAACTTTTCTGAATATATTTATACGATTATACCATTTTTTAAATGAAAACAAATGGTGATTACTGTCAAAAGGCTTGTTAAACTCTTCGTCGAAGCATTTAGTTTTACATAATCTCTGAATAGTTTTCGTTTTCTTTCACTACTGAAAGTCATGCATCTCGAATGACTTCTATTATTATGGTCGACGGGAATTGTTAGCCAGACAATAAATAATTGACGGTTCGTCAAATGGTAAAGTTACTTATATATCCTAATGATACTGGAAAAAAATAAGGAAAATTTAAGCAAAAAAAAAGATCGACACTAATATCGCATGTCATTTATGAATACTCAAATCAGAAGTCATGCCAAACCCATGGGATCAATGTAACCCGAGTGAAACTAACCAATTCATATTTCAAGCCATAGTTTGTATCAAGTCTTTATTCATATTTCTAGTCAAGCTATTTGACTTCAGTACTTGCATTTTGTTTATTGTTAAACAGTAAAAAGTATATACCTCAATATGCACACGAGAAATGATGCGTAGGAAACAGCTTTTAACATTGAAACAATATCTAGTCCGGCATTTGTAGTTTGCATTATCTGTAAATATATATATATATATATCAAACAAAATAAAAAAAGAGAATAGTATTTGAAAATGTAGGCACGAATATCCCGTCAAAAAGCCTGTTAGACGTCGCATTTTTTACTATAAAAAAATTGGGCCCACTTAGATCCTTTTTGCCAATTTTTGTCCGGATAATAATTTTTTCGATGAACATTTTGCATAAACATTCGACTACTCGTGGCCTTCCCTCCCTGTACGTATTTTGGAGTTATTGTAGCAGGCTTGTATTCACCAATCCCTCTTACTAAGGTAAGGTAAAAACTAAGAACTTACCGCAACGGCAAAATTTGACAAGCCAAAGAACAGGTCTGCACACACAAGTGAAGCAACAAATCTGTATAGATTTGAGTGAAATTTTTTCCAGTGTGTTGCGATAGCTATCAGAAGCAAACTGTTTTCAACAACAATAAGAGCTGTCAATATTGCTGTTGTAACTCTTGGTGCATTCATAAGTTTAAATCCGCAATGCGCTGTTCGTATGTAATAAGTTGTCGTATTTTCCATTGTTATATAATTCCGAGGACAATTCTCAAAATAGAAATGAATGAAAATATAAATTTAGATTGGTATGATTAGTCTCAAATGTTAAAATCTTTGTATATTGATTAGAGTCAGTAATGACAACAACATCTTATATTTCGTCACTGGTCTCTTTATTTTTAGTACAAATTTCGAAATATATTTTCAATTACTGTTTACAATTATTTCGTATAATCATTTATTGTTTTGTACTGTTACAAAAGAGTTGGTATAAAATATTTATAGAAACTGATGAAAATCCCAACTGTTTGCTTGTTAAGAAGTTATGGAAGCTCTATCCAAGGACAACCAAACACAGTAAACTATTTATATATGGTAAGTGGGTACAATGCAACTATGCTCTTTACACTATACTAGAGATTGTTCTAAATTTAACTTTAGAGTCAAGGCAAGGGGTAGGTGAGCATATCCAGCTATTTTTCGGACTGTACACGTCACCATCCTCTTCTGACAAAGTGCCAAGACCGGCTATGTACCGGTATTTATTCTTCGTCACATCCATACTTTATTCTCTTCGATAGAATATTGATGAAGCATAAATCGTTCGCTTTAAAGCGATATTGTAATAATGAATACACGTTTTAACAACAATGGCGATTATCCAGAGTCGAAAATAATTTGCTAATGAATGTTTAATGTTGATCTGTTTTCTTTCATTTGTCCAGCAATTCTTTGGTTCATTTTGAAAAATGGAACTTAGGCATAAAATAAAGAAGGGGACGTTTAAGATTATCAATTGTCCTGCTACATCAAGATAATGATGCTGCCGATATTCTGAAATTCTTGCTTGGTCTGTCACCACGAAAAATAAAGGTTGGTCAAGGTGTAACTAGTCGTAAGAAATCACTTTTTGCTGTAGTATCTGTGTACATGTAGAAAGTAATTGTCTAAATCAGTGATTTTTCCTGCGGCCCTCGATATCCTTCAAAAATCAATCATTTTCATTGAAAATTAATCAATAACTTGAAATTGAAAAACTGAACATTGATGTCATCGTACCTGTTTGGTCTTTTCATGTGCACACTTTATGATGACGTCATAGTGTTGTCTCACAATATTCAGCCTACGTTTTAATACACTGATTTGATTGTTTCCAGTAATCACGAGCAAGCTATCCCGTACACCAGGGGTCGGCTACCCTTTTGTCGCTTGCGGGCCAAAATTAAGCGTTGCAAGTCTTGGCGGGACACACATACTTTTAGAAAGTTGATATTCGATTGAAATTCGCATGGTTTGTCAAATTTGGATAGAGACTTTGTTCAAGAATATATTTCTTATAAAAATCAAGCAGTGACACGTCTATCGAATAAAATATGGATTTTATTTCCTCACTGCATTGAATATTTTCTGCGTCTTTTTTTCATTTGTCTGATTATATTTGAATGGTAAGCATATTAAACGAGTAGCTGTTCACGAAATTGTTAGGTTATAATATAATTTAGTCTACACGTGTGTCACAATAAATTTGGTTACGGAAAGTATATAATCGTGAAAACAGTCGTTTGTCGCTATAATTCAGTGAAAAGTCGACGGCCGGATTATTTTACTAAACAGGCCGGATCTGGCCCGCAGGCCGTTGGTTGCGACCCCTGCCGTACACTGTGCAAAGTTTCCGAACAACATATTTATTTGTTAGTTTGTCAAGACAAAATGCCAAGCAAACCTTCAAAACAGCTCACACTATTCATAAATATAATCAGGCGTTATAAAGGGATTGGAAAGAGAAGTATTTCAAACTAAAATAAATATCATTAAGAAAAAATGGGGTTAGCTATTGATTCATATATTACTGAAGAATTCATTCATCAGGATTGCGCCACGACTTCAAAATTAAAAGCCAATGTCAAGTTCAGCGTGAACTTGGTTTTTACAACGAGTTTTGTTGATGTTGGTATTTTGAAAAACTGTACATACTTGAGTTTGGTTTTTTACGCGGCTTCTTAAAACCTTAAGGTTTTTTCTTTCTCATTCTTGTTGTTACCGTATGAAAAAAAATCATTTTCTCGTTTATTACAGGACCAATTGCTTTGAAAGACTGTATTTTTCTCTAAAAGGGTATTTATTATCTTTATTTGTTCCTAAATTTCTCGTGAAATCTGATGTCTCATCTTGAATTCCGCTGTTTCATTTTTATTCATGGGAACACGTTTTTGTGACATCGTGACGGTTGGCACTGATCGACTACTGTGACAGATTGCATACCCGTACTACGGCGATTTGACTTTCGTGTCCATATATTTGAGCATCGATCTCTTGTTATTGTTGTTTTTATTTGAATATTAATGAATCAGAAACCGTGAGATTCTCCACCTTTAAGGCGATTACTAAATGACCAGTGACAACAGCAGCAGTTATTCATCAATTCAGTAATTAGGTGTTTTAACGATGATTTCCATCACAGATGTTAATTAAGATATTAAGCCAATTTGTTTCTTGCGTCTGTCCAAGGACTGGTATTAAAGGGCTCATTGTCGAAAAATTCGATCATAGAAAATAGTGACATAAACAAACAATTTTGAGAAAATCATGACAACAATTCAATGGAAACACCTTGACTAATAATAGAATAGCTAAATTTCAAATTAGGATTTCATAAGAAAAACCTGTCTTTAATATTTTTCACTAAAACGAACTCTAACTAATATTAATAGAGATACAAAAATTTCTGCTCTGGTCACAACATTCTTCATAAAAACTCTTGCTAAAAATTATTATGCTGTTCATTTTTACACACAAAGTGGACCTAAGGATCGTTTCGCAATTTTGTATTCTTATTCTTGTTTTTATGCAGCAAAATCGCTTTTGTGTGCGATGACGTCACCAAAATTAAAAATTTTGCCATCTTGTGGCGGTTCCGCGTTCACGATCAGGTAGTCCGGCGAAATCAAGAATGGTGCGGTACCGGTAGTCTACTGTGGGAGTTTGCATACCCGCACTACTTCGTTCCGGCCTCCGTGTCCATATATTTTAGCACCGCTTTCTTGTTTCACATGCGATGGGTTTTGAATTACCAGGGTTTAATTCAATAGTATCCCATTAAGTTGATTTTGTTGTTGCGGTGGACTTATCGGATTTCGTGCTACGCGGAAGTCGGAAATTTTTCTTATCGTAAATTTCGATTTGGCTTTCGTATCCATATATTTGAGTATTGCTTTCTTGTTATTCAATGGTACTAATAACTGGCGTAGGTCCATATTGTTGTTATGGAACAAAACACATTTTCCCGGACCAGTGTAGTTGAAAGCGGTATCAGAAGTGCGAGTGATCACTCCTCGATCGCATTTCAGCAAACTGGTGAAAAATTTTTTGGTAAGAAAGACTATAAAACATTTGAAACTACTTGTTTTGGCTTTCGCTAAATAACAACTAGAAAACGTATGGTGACAGTCACTGATGTAGGGTTTTTCATTTTCGAACGGAGAAATGCGGTGAATATTAAAATAATGCCCAACAACTTCATCTTGATGGAAGCTATTTCATTGAAAAGCTTGAGTTTCTTCTAATGGATCAAAAGTCCTGTTTATTACATATATATTACAAAATATTTATTTGTTAGTTTGTCAATTCAAAATGCGAATCAAAGCTTCAAAAAGACTCGCACTATTCATAAATACAATCAGGCGTTACAATGAGATTAGAATGAGAAGCATTTTCAAATTAAAATAGATATCATTATGAAAATATGAAGTTAGCTATTGATATATATACCAGAATTTCGGTCGGAGATCGAAGACTTATCGATCGAAAGTTAGGGGAACCCCAAAAACAGAAACTGCGGTTTCGATTCATGCGCTCTTACTCCAAAGTGACATCGTTTGTCCCATCACTAATTAATTAATAACTCACTAATTATACGACATAATTCATCCAATATCAATAGGCTTCTGATCCGAAATATATTGAATTGACAAACAAACAAACAGACAAATACCTATCAACATACTTACCGATCATAAGATCGATAAGTAATCACTGAAGAATGCATCCATCCCGATTGGACCAGGATTTTTCAGACTTCTGAATACAGAGCCAATGTCAAGTATAGCGTGAACTTGGTTTTTACAACGAGTTTTGTTGATTTCGGTATCTTATAATACTGTACGTACTTGAGTTTTGTTTTTTTATGCGGCTCCTTAAAACTTTGAGGTTTAAAATTTGGCTCCGACACTAAAAAAGGGTTGAGAACCACTCGTCTAAATCGTTTAGAAAGATGTGGCTCATTTGGAAAGAATCTGTTTTGGATTCTGTAAAAACATTTGAATATTTAAGCATATGGCGCATTTTCCTTTTTAATCTCGAAGTATCCGCATGCAGCGTTTTGTCATGATGTTGTTGATTTTCTTTTCTTTCTCATTCTTGTTGTTACCGCATGAAAAAAAATATTTTCTCGTTTATTACAGGACCAATTGCTTTGAAAGACTGTATTTTTCTTTAGAAGGCTATTTACTACCTTTTTTTATTCTTAAATTTCTCATGAAATCTGATGTCTCATCTTAAATTCCGCCGTTTCATTTTTATTCATGGGAACGTGTTTTTGTGATGACATCGTGACGGTTGGTACTGATCGACTACTGTGACAGATTGCATACCCGTACTACGTCGTTTTGACTTTCTTGTCCATATATTTGAGCATCAGTCTCCTCTCGTTATTGTTGTTTTTATTTGAATATTAATGAATCAGAAACCGTGAGATATTCCACATTTAAGGCGATTACTAAATGACCAGTGACAACAGCAGCAGTTATTCATCAATTCAGTAATTAGGTGTTTTAACGGTGATTTCCATCATAGATGTCAATTAAGGTGTTAGAGCAATTAGTTTCTTGCTCCTGTCCAAGGACTGGTAAAAAGGCTCATTTTAATTAAATTCAGTCATGGAAGATAGTGACGAGAACAAACAATTTTAAGCCAGACCATGATAACAATTCAGCGGAAAAAACCTTGACTAATAGAATGGCTAAATTTTAAATTATACCACGAAAATATCACAAAATTTTTTCACAAAAACTAACGTCTATTAATAATATTAGAGATGCAAAAATTATTGCTGTTGTCTGACGTCTGATCTTATCGGTATTTCACTTTTTTAAACTGAGATTTGGAATTTGTTCGAATATTTTGTTGTATAATAATAATCCATGGGTATTGCATTGTACATATGTTTAAGTAGGTATCGTGAATCATTCGATGAACAGTCAATGGATCAACAAAATTATCAAATATCAGGTAATCATGATGTCGTATTGTATCAAGCTGGTATCAGCCTGTGCGTATATAACAGTCTTCTAGTATCCACTGCTTTAATTTAGAGAAGGCACAGTTGATTGATCAATCAATCATCATTTATTCGTCAACACAATCAATATAAATATATCACGGAAATGTGGCAAGATAAAGAGTAAATGAAAAAAAACGAACTTTATATGTGTGACAGGAGTCGCGAGGGACCACGAAAGGTTTTCGAGCAGCGACACCCACGATGCTGATTCAGCCCAATAATAAATATAGTTAACGCCTATGCTTCTAAATATTATTATTCATAAAACATAAAAAATGAAACACCAAAATAATTGAATAATATGTGTATATAACAAATTTAAAAAACATGAAAACCACCAATTAGCTATTACAGAAGTTTTTGAAAGAAAACATAAAAGAGAAACTAAACATAAAAAGTAGATGATTATCTAATAAACCTACAATATTTGCATTACGTTTTTAGACAGTGTACATAACGGCATAACCGTTGTCAATCAAGCAGCAATTGTGAAAAATACGGACTCCGTGCACCTCTGAATCGCTCGAGCTGGGATCAGCGTTGTCAAAAATAACAAGCCAAGGTCATGCTGCCATGAGTCAGATGTAGATAAACGGCAGTAGATTGGAATCAGACAGTTAATTTTCCGATAGTCGACTTAAAGAAACGTAATGGTCAATATATTTTATTTAATTGAACACACTATGATCATGTTTTGTAGTGCACAGATGACAGAAAGGATAGTTAATAGTCCCCAAAGGCCAGCATTAGTGCAGAAGCGGAAACCAAGGGGGCCACTCACTAAACTTCATAAACAGTTGCAGTGTTGGTAATTCCCCAACATCAATTTAATAGATTTGTTTATGAATTGATTTTCGTAAACCTTTTGTTCGTGCTTCAAATTTTGACAATGAAGATATAATTTGTCAGTGTCAATATCACAATGTTTGGCCCTGCTTGATAGGGGAGGCGGACAACTCGACTACACGGACAACTCACCAGAGACAACTCGACTACCTGTAGACCTGGTGAGTTGTCCGTCTTTTCGCATTTTCTACGATGGTGTTTTAGGTCTATAGAAATGCGTTTTTGATATTTTTAGTGCTCAAATGTCAAGAAAAATACATAAATATTCTCTAGAAAGCATTTTTATTTGTATAAGTGGCTTATTTTAATCATGTTGTATGAATACAAATACAGTCTACAGACGAAATTGGAGTAACATTAGCGAAGTTAGACTGTTGACTTATAGGACTATGTTCGTTTAATTTTATGAACTTTATTGGTAATAAATGTTTTGAATGAGCACATTTGAATATATTAAAACCTTTATACTTCACAGTAACACTTAAATATTTATGAATGTGAGCTTAGTAGTCTGTGATTGCAGTAGTCTAAACTCGCCTACGGCAGTCGCCCGTCAACTCACCAGTCGAGCAAACGCTCTGCGACGTGACGTCATCGATGCTCGAGGTAAAGACAACTCGACTACCGAGCAACGAGAGGCAGACACTAGTCGAGCAATCGCTCTGCGATATAGATGCTCGAGGTAAAGACAACTCGACTACCGAGCAACCTCACTAGTCGAGCAATCGCTCTGCGATATCGATGCTCGAGGAGAAGACATTGCTTTGCAAAACGCAGACTCAATAGTTGCATAGCATTTACTTAGTGCCGACTGATATTAGTTGTAAGCCAACTCACCACGGCAAGGTTTCAGTCATAGAGTTGGAATTTCTTTTTGCAGAAGAAAACCAGGAACAGATAGGCACTGTCGCTGCGCCTGGCGAAGAAACTGGGCCGAAGAATGGATAAAAGATGTTTACTTTTTGTTACGATTAATGAATTTAATATGATATTTGAATACTAAACGTTATGGGGAAATTTAATGGATGGAAGGTTTTGTTTTCTTTTTCGTTACGAATATTGAATTTTATTTGAATACTAAACGTTATGGGAAATTTGCTGCGTTACATACTTACTCTTTGCAATACTGCGGCCCGTAGATCCTTGAACACCTCCGAAGAAGAGAGTCCACAGATAACTCTCCTTCCTTATACTGTTCCCAAACATGTTGCACCCTCTCGTTGGCTTCCGCATACTTGCCGTTGACACGCCCCACAACATTATCTTCCAAAATATCCACAACGTCCGCCTCTATCCCTATACTTACCTCGTACATTGTTGAGATTAAACTGTAAAAAGGCATATTTTTCTGTTATACTGTTGAAATGGCGGTGCCAACCTTCCAGATGATTGTTGGTTCTTATTTCTACGTCGAATACTGACCAATCCTTGGGAGTCCAGACACTGTTGTATAATGTGTTTTGTGTTTTGAAAATATTCGGCGAAGTTCTTGAGATCTTGAGTATGCATCTTTTCTTTCAGTGATTTGAACCTGGACGTGATAAACATAGCAGGTATATAGCCCAGCGCCATGACATGCTTTATCAGGTCTCTTGTCCCAGCGTCCCTAAAACAAAATAAAACATGTTAAAACAAAAGAAGTGGAAGAAGTACAAAGACATATATATAAATATGGTTAACTACTCACTTGTTGTATAGGCGAGCCAAGTGCCAGATTGGTGATATCCATGCACGGAGATTAGATAAGGTGCAAGATCGGTGATAATGATGCCGCGCGCCGAGTTTACAGCCTCATTATCGCCGGCCTGGCACCTTTCAAACGTAAATACTCATTAGCCGAGGTCGTTTCCATCACAGTTTTATACTGAAACGAGGACGACTAACGTTATATTAACTCCACAAAAACTACGCAAGAATTCAAGATGACTACTCCAAATATGTGCAAGAGATGTGACGACAATGTTTCCATGAAGCAGGAGGGACTCATCTGTGACGACTGTCGAAATTGGTTTCATCGCAAATGTTTTAATAATTCAGATGTGGCAATGACAAGGGAACATTACAGGCTATTAAAAAAACAGGACGTAACGTTTGAGTGGAAGTGCCTGAACTGCTATCAGGCCCAGGACACCCATCATGACTCCAACCCGATTGTTGTATCCCAGCAGATGGAACCTAGTCGCCGGCTGGTAGACTACTCTGATTCCGAATGCTCGGAAATCAGCCCAATACCCAGGGTAAGTTGACTATATTTTATGGATTATTTGTTGACCTATCTAGACTATAATAAACTAACATTCTTAATATATTACACAGGACGACGTCGCATTCGCATTTCCAGATATTCCGTCCGTGGTTAATGAATCGTCTATCGAGGCAACCAATCCGAGAGAATTGTTGAGCCAAAGAATCGAAGAAGCGTTTTTCACCATCGAGGACGCCTTAAGCTTAAGCCAAAGAGGTAAAGCGAAGCTTCACGAGAGGGGTGGCTATTCATACACCCTTTATCGCACCAACGCGAATGGAACCGGTAAGTCAATAATAATTACAAACGTCCCATTTTATATTACCATGTTTCTAATACCTAACAATTTTATTTTGCAGTTGCCTGGAGATGCTCCGTGAGGCGGAAAGGGAACGTCTGCCCGGCAAAGGTCCAGCAAAAGGACGACGAATTCATCAGAAATAAAGCGCCCCATTCACATGGCCCTGTGGTCGGCGAGCGACAGCACGGACAACTGAAAAAATTGGTGGGGAAACGGGGGTTAGAAAATCCCTACACCACTTGTGGGATTGTGGCAAAAATGGCACGCAAAGAGATCGCAGGTGGTAGATTACAGATTGGCGCAGTAAAGGTGAGTTACTTGACCTTGTACATTTATAATGGATACTGATATAGTGTATGTTACAAATTTTCCTTTTGTTACAGGGGGAATCACTGAAGAGGCTTTGCAACGGAAGCGACAAAACAACAGACCGTCAGACCCAGATACAATCGAGGAGCCACTGCAACAACAACACATACCAAAGGATTTTTTAGTTGACGACGCTATAGTAAACGGTGCACGTCACATAATCTTCTCAACAAGAAAACAACTTTCACTCCTGTCGAAGTCAAAAAGCTGGTATATGGATGGGACGTTCGACGTGGTTAAAGACCCATTTTATCAACTTTTTTCTATCCATGCATTCATCAGGAGCGGCGAATGCTCGAAACAAATTCCGTTGGTTTTTGTCCTTATGTCCCGGCGCAGGAAAATGGACTACGTCCACATCTTCAATGTAATTAACAACCTACTCACCCTTTCGTTTTCCGGTGCACGTGTGAAGAGATTCGTACTGGACTTCGAAGCCGCAACGTGGCAAGCACTTTCTTCAGTATGGCCGGACGTCGAAAAGCAGGGATGCTCTTTTCACTTCACTCAGGCCATCATGAAGAATGTGCGCCACAATAATTTGGCTCGCTTATACAACAAGTGAGTAGTTAACCATATTTATATATATGTCTTTGTACTTCTTCCACTTCTTTTGTTTTAACATGTTTATTTTGTTTTAGGGACGCTGGGACAAGAGACCTGATAAAGCATGTCATGGCGCTGTGCTATATACCTGCTATGTTTATCACGTCCAGGTTCAAATCACTGAAAGAAAAGATGCATACTCAAGATCTCAAGAACTTCGCCGAATATTTTCAAAACACATGGTTATACAACAGTGTCTGGACTCCCAAGGATTGGTCAGTATTCGACGTAGAAATAAGAACCAATAATCATCTGGAAGGTTGGCACCGCCATTTCAACAGTATAACTCGGAAATATATATATTTTTTACAGTTTAATCTCAACAATGTACGAGGTAAGTATAGGGGATAGAGGCGGACGTTGTGGATATTTTGGAAGAGAATGTTGTGGGGCGTGTCAACGGCAGGTATGCGGAAGCCAACGAGAGGGTGCAACATGTTTGGGAACAGTTTAAGGAAGGAGAATTATCTGTGGACTCCCTTCTTCTGAGGTGTTCAAGGATCGCAGTATTGCAAAGAGTAAGTATGTAAAGCAGCAAATTTCCCATAACGTTTAGTGTTCAAATAAAATTCAATATTCGTAACGAAAAAGAAAACAAAACCTTCCATCCATTAAATTTCCCCATAACGTTTAGTATTCAAATATCATATTAAATTCATTAATCGTAACAAAAAGTAAACATCTTTTATCCATTCTTCGGCCCAGTTTCTTTGCCAGGCGCAGCGACAGTGCCTATCTGTTGCTGGTTTTCTTCTGCAAAAAGAAATTCCAACTCTATGACTGAAACCTTGCCGTGGTGAGTTGGCTTACAACTAATATCAGTCGGCACTAAGTAAATGCTATGCAACTATTGAGTCTGCGTTTTGCAAAGCAATGTCTTCTCCTCGAGCATCGATATCGCAGAGCGATTGCTCGACTAGTGAGGTTGCTCGGTAGTCGAGATGTCTTTACCTCGAGCATCTATATCGCAGAGCGATTGTTCGACTAGTGTCTGCCTCTCGTTGCTCGGTAGTCGAGTTGTCTTTACCTCGAGCATCGATGACGTCACGTCGCAGAGCGTTTGCTCGACTGGTGAGTTGACGGGCGACTGCCGTAGGCGAGTTTAGACTACTGCAATCACAGACTACTAAGCTCACATTCATAAATATTTAAGTGTTACTGTGAAGTATAAAGGTTTTAATATATTCAAATGTGCTCATTCAAAACATTTAATACCAATAAAGTTCATAAAATTAAACGAACACAGTCCTATAAGTCAACAGTCTAACTTCGCTAACGTTACTCCAATTTCGTCTGTAGACTGTATTTGTATTCATACAACATGATTAAAATAAGCCACTTATACAAATAAAAATGCTTTCTAAAGAATATTTATGTATTTTTCTCGACATTTGAGCACTAAAAATATCAAAAACGCATTTCTATAGACCTAAAACACCATCGTAGAAAATGCGAAAAGACGGACAACTCACCAGGTCTTCAGGTAGTCGAGTTGTCTCTGGTGAGTTGTCCGTGTAGTCGAGTTGTCCGTCAGCCCTTGATAGTGGCCAATGTTTCATGATCTGAGTCGTACTGACCACTCGTCGGTTTTTTCATGAACTTCGGATTCAAAATTTGTATAAAGAAACAGCAATTACTTAATTAGCGTAGGGGCAACAGGTTTAAATGTAAAGGACGCTGTCTGATTAGAAACTGCTATAAGACCAGGAATGCTTGAGTTTTGGGTTTTCCTACTACTTCCTCAATGTGTATAGGTTTACCAAGAGCAAACTAGGAAGTGAATTGTGTGACTAAAATTTGTGTTTTTAACACAACTGGTGCGAAACAATTGTTTTGTTTGTGATAAAAGAAAGTCCCAATCGAATAATTGAAGCTCCCTGTAATCTCTCATTAAATGTTTACAATAAATGTTTCTCTGTGAAAAAAATGACAATTTAAAGTCCGATTATAGCTCCGTACTACAAATTAAGTCGGTTGGGATCATAATTATTGTGTGTGCTAATGCTAGTGCTAAACTCAAAATCATCACCGACAACTATTTTTCAATAAATTCATTGATTGAGTATTATAAAATACTAAAATAATGCAAAAAGACGATATCAAAACAAAGAGTGCTCATTATAACTACATTCACGTTATGTGTTGGATGAATTGATTTGAATTGCCACTGGTGACGCGTCGCTTCCTGAATCGGCATCTGAAACAATATGCACGTGATAATATTCAAGCTCGGTATAGCTGTAACTCATTTTTCAAATATTTGTCATGAATATATTGACGAAACTTGAAATAAAACAATTCACAATGTTTAGATGAATGCGATGAGTGGGACTAGATAAGACAATAAACAAAATATTATGAGGATAAGTTTGATTAGAACATACCAAGTAGACTACTTGTCTGTACTTACTACCTGTAACATCTTCTCATGAAAATTATATACGCAATTGAAAATTATATATATTGTGCAGAAGCATCTATACCAAAGCCGTAACTACCTCATAGCAATATTTTTGACTTGGCAACTCATAATAACTAGGATACAATTATATCAGTCACAACATATTTATACTTTATTTAACAGTGTTTTAGTTACCTGTGTCTAAAATAAGTTGCTATGACTGCATCTTTCAATTTGGTCATTGTGAAGAAGCATATCCAAGGATTAGCAAGACTTGGAAGTGTAAAAATATTCTAAAAAACGAGACATCGTTGCATCTGTGTACGGTAACAATGACTTATATCGGCAAAATATAATAATATTGTTCTGGAAAAATGCTTTGAAAGTCATTTTTGTTTGTCATTCATTCCAAATATATATCAGCAATATCCAAAAACAATTATAAATAGTTGTTCTTAATATCGCACATCAACGATGAACAGTTTAACAAATTTTTACATTGAATAATGTCGATAAATGATTAATGTCAAGAGAAATCAGGATTAATGTTGATTCCGATTAATCCGGATCATAATGATTTTTGATTGATTGACAAGAACCCAGTTGATTCAGATTTTATGATCTCCCTCATGATCTTAGACAACCAGCCACTTTTTTGTAAAAATCTAAATTATCTAACATACACATCCTCCCTTGGATGTGGGATTGAGTCACAAACCTAGCATTACTCAACATCTAAAAAATCTTAAATATAAACCCATAACTCACGGAGTAAATCTGCACGTAGAGGTATGGCAAAAATTGTTTTTGTGTAAAAAATGCTCGAAGCGTGAACGTAGTGAGTGCAGACCAAAATGTAAACTGGAGGATGGTGACAGCAAGAGAGAATTTTGAAATGAAATCGTTGTTAAACCCAAATTGTTGTCTGGAAACTAATGAAGATTCAGCCCACGTAGTATTTTCACTTTCCTCATATTTTAAAGTATGTTCAAACGCAAGAGAATTCTGTCCTGAGATTCTCTCTTTATATCCATCCGTTGACGTAACTTCGATGCCAGGAAGTGGCTTTGCTGTTATAAAAAATAGCATAATAAATCATTAAAGATTAGCAACACTTATCACTCTAAACAACCATCGCACGTCTTTTTTTTATTACCATCTCCTTTACTTTATTTTCAAAAACATTTAATGAAACTCCTGAAGTATGCTCACCAAGTTGGCGCACAACCTGAACTCAGATTGTGTACCAGGTTAGGGTTCAGGTTGTGCGACATCTTGGTGCGCATACTTCAGGAGTACCCAGTTAATTATGAAGAAGTAGTAATTATGAAATAAAAAAAAAAACAATAATTTTAATAAACAGAAAAAATCACTAACCACGATCAATTGATGGTTTTGGCGTAATAATCACTTTAAAAAAGACAACATAAACAGTACTAGCCACCAAAATGCCAAGTGCACACCAAGATGTTGCGTTTGTGAACAGGAGAAAAGGAAACGATAATGGAGCCATAAAACTCGAGCAATGTGAAGTGCTAAGAAAAAATTTTGTAAATTAAAGGAAGTATTTTAATAACTAAATTTTCCATCTGGCAGGCTTTTCAAAATAGTTTCCTCCTGTCTCCGAAACCTTGGCCTTCGCTCTAAGTCAGAATGTTTGTAAACACCCACATATCTGAATTCTATATCGAGCTCGGATGTTGTTGATTTCACAAAAAAGTTAGAAGCCAACACTGGTTTGACTAATCTTAAAGTATTTTCAAATGATGAATTCCTAAAATGTTTTTCTAGTTTTTCAAGATTTTTTAAACTCGGCAAGTTTGTATAAATTTAAAATGAATAGCGTCAAATATATGACTCAAATATTCCCAACATTGAACGTTAAATTATAAATATTTATTGCAGTCAACTTTTTGCATAATCTTTGTTCCTCTCCACTTGAATCAATCACCACAGTCGCACAACCTTCCATGCAATCATGCTCTTCCTCTGTGCATCTTGTCATAACACCAACCAAAGTAAAAATAGGAAGAAGTAACCAAATACTGATTGAAACTGCCTCTTTCGCTTCATTATATTTTTTTGTTGTTTACCACTGGAGGCGCTGGTGGTACATACGTTCACAGATTTTAGTGATTGTGACATCATAATACCCCGTGCGCGTTTGCTGCGCGCGCTGCTTCAGTACCTTGATTCGACCTTCTCAGGACTGTGGGATTTGTGGTGCAAGGTTTTCGTTGTCTGGAGATTTGTAGTTCCAAGGTTTTAATTGTATTTTCATATATTTAGATTTAATAACATTAACTTAATTTCAATAACTGTCCCAATCAACTGTCGATTGTTTTGTAAGCTGAAAGCTACACTGTCAAGTACGTATTTCAGTTTATTGTTTTTATATTAAGAATATTTCGGTTGTACCGTGTTCTATAATGACCACTTTTGTAATCAGCCGCAACTGTTATTATACTGGCGTAAACCTGCGTATGTTAAGTTCAGTTCTAATGTGTACAATTTGGTTTAGTTAATGATTTCAATTGTCGAGTTATTTCTGCCGGCACATTATTTGTTGTAATCATTGTTGTTTTATTTAGAAAACCGTACTTCCGTACACGTATTGATGTACTCTCGTACTGACGTACTCTCGTATCCACGTATTGTCGTAATCACGTACTGTTGTATATCATACCTATAACATCGTACCGACGTATCTTCATACACCTGTACTTCCTGACAATAACGACATCAACTTGTACTGTTTGTACGCGTCTTTTTGCATTGGAGTGACAAAATCAGTTTACTAAAACAGATCGACCATCTAAGAAATACACCTGGTGGTGGGCGCTAAAGCACTCCAAATTTGGCGTCTACATTAGTTTTGACAATTGCAATACTGCAACAAAGTTTTTGAAAAT